CCAGTCCTTCTCATCGCGCTGTCGGCCTCTTGTCACCACTAGCATGACCATATCCATGAGGTGTTGGGTTTCCAGCATTGGCCCTGAAACAGATCCAAGCACAATGTCTATGACGATGACTTTTCCTCCTGCATCCCGGGGAGGAACAGCCTTCTTGCATTGTGCCAGGATCTTGACGCAATCCTCGTCGCTCCAGAAGTGCAGTACAAGCTACATTACCATGCATGGATAAACTTGTAGTTTAAGGTTAATCAAGCCTGACTAGGATGAAATATGAAGGGATTTTATTATTTTAAGCTGTTATTATTTCAGAAATGAAAACTAATTAAGCATTGCTTGAATATTTCAATTTTGCTAAGTCTTAGTGGACTAAGACTTTGTTATGTATCGATCGATGTTATATTCATTTGATCTTGCATGGAGATTCATATAAAAAAATTATTTTCAGTTTTTTTTACTTCTATATACTCCATCCGTTCGGAAATACTTGTCATGAAATGAATAAAAGGGGATGTATCTAGACGTATGTCTAGATACATTCCTTTTATGTATTTCCGGACGGAGGGAGTACTATATTACTTGACTCAGACTTTAAGTCTCAATCGACCAAGACCTAACCACACCCTTAATATTTCACTTGGAATAAAAATTATGGAATGTGCAACATTCATATCATATATACCTTGAGCAACACGGCTTGAGCAGGTGGGACAACGTGGAACAGGTCACCGGAAACATACTTAACTGCTCCTTCTTCAGCGGGAAGAACTTTGTCCATGACCTTTGGAAGGTCCAGCACAGTGCACGTGATGTGAGGGTAGGCCTCGACGATGGACCTCGCGGTAGTCCCATCGCCACCGCCGCAGTCAGTGAGAGACTCAAGCCCATCGAACAGCTCATGGCACTGCCGGAGCACGGGGCCGATCCCCATGTGGTCGTGGGCAGCGAGGGCGTCGTGGAGCAGCTGATCCATCTCCGGGTCGAGGAGCACCATGCTCTCCTCGAAGATGGCCGCGCCATGCACGTCCTCGAACGGCGAGGGAACGGCTCCATCGAAGTCCTTCCTGAACCAGTCCGCCAGCCCCATAGCCGCCTCCACGTAGTAGCGCGAGGCCGCGGCGCGCACGAGGGCCGTCTGGCTAGCGTCGCCGTCGATGCGGACGCCGTCTACCAGGAGGTACGAGAGCGGGTTGAGGCGGTACGTTCCGGCGTCGGTTGCACTGAAGACGCCCGCCGTGGCGAGTTGGCGCAGCAGGCGGGCGAGGAAGGGCAGCTTGGACGTGGGGAGGGATAGGGCGGCGACGAGTTCGGATGGGGACGCGGCGCCGCCGAGGCGGTGAATGGCAGTGGGGACGCCAAGGTCGACGGCGCACCGGAGCGCCATAGGCGTGAGGTAGCAGAGGGTGTGGCGCCACAGGTCCGACTGCGCCTGGAGCAGCTCCGTGTCGGTGGGGACAAACACCTTCTCTGCCTGGCCTGCCATTGCCGATGATCTCTATCTCTAAGTGCTGTACGTGTTGTGCACTTCGATCTGGTAGAGATATAGGGGACGGAGGACACTCTCATATAATATAGCAATGTGTTTGCTGTCATTTCTCGTGAAACACGAGGGTGATGACCATGACACTATATCGCTATCAACGGGCCGGGGTAGCGTATCGATACAGCGCAGAAAGAAGACTCAAGACTGCTCGCTGTGGGTGGAAACGGAAAGGAGGCACGTGCGGCTTTGAGATAGACCGACCGACTGTACACACATTCCTTTCGTGGATTCGAATCGAATCGATAAACCTAAATACTTCATGGTGCACGCACACGATTTTGCTGAACCGAGCGGCCGTGCTTGGACCGCTCATTGCGAGCGCATCGTTTGGCCCACGACCGCCAGGTGTTTCCTGGTCGGGGCGAGACGTGGTTAGCTTGTGCGCTATCCGACAAAGCCGGTGTGACACCCTTACTTTCTCTCTGAAAAAACAAAGGCTTATCCTTATCATCTTTTCATCGTCTTTAACGTATCCGGCCAGGAAGCAGTGTGCCCCGGCCGGAGGCCAAGCCGAGGCGGCCAACCGGAGAAACCTGGAGAGCAGGTCAGCCAAGGAGCCGGAAAAGCAGTGCCGCAACCTCCTCCCGGCGAGGCATGAAACCAGACAAAATTCTCCCAAACCGGTCGGACCGCAGCGGCGCGGTCGTGTTTGCCATGGACGTACCCCCATGGTGTTGCTGCCGCTGCTGGTGGAGCTGTGCAAGTCCATTGGTGTGCACACGCTGCTGCTCATGGAGTCATGGTGCCCGGCATCATTGGAGCTCAGCTCTTGTACCTACTGCCCGCCGAATCGCCAGGCAACGTCGTCCTATTCAGAGCTTATGGACATGGTGCTCACCTGAATGCTAATAAAAAATTCTAGTTCCTGCATGGCTGCACAACCTTTAGTCTTGGTTGATTATCACGAGTACTTTTTTGCCTGAGTAGATTATCCAATAGTTGTAGTTGCACATATAATAGTCTGTAGTAGTATATATGATTTAGAAAGTTGCACAACACGATGATCCTAAGTTGGCTAGATGATGTTTTTGCTTAAATTGATCTATTCTTGTCAGTCGTATTTTTAGTTGGTATCCATGACACGATAATATAATATAGCAATGTGTTTGCTGTCATTTCTCGTGGAACGCGAGGGTGACGACCTTGACACTATATCTCTATCGACGGGCCGGGGTAGCGTATCGATAGAGCGCATAAAGAAGACTCAAGACTGCTCGCTGCGGCTGCAAACGGAAAGGAGGCACGCGCGTCTTCGAGACAGACTGACCGACTGTACACACATTCCATTCGTGAATCCGAACCAAATCGATAAACCTAAATACTTCATGGTGCACGCGCACGATTTTGCTTAACCGAGCAGCCACGCTTGGACCGCTCATTGCGAGCGCATCGTGGGGCCCACGACGGCCAGGTGCTTCCTGGTCGGGGCGAGACGTGGTTGGCTCGAGCGCTATCCGACAAACCCGGTATGACACCCTTACTTTCTCTCCTGAAAAAACAAAGGCTTATCCGTATCATCTTTTCATCGTCTCCCTCGAATCCGGCGAGGAAGCAGTGTGCCCCAGTCGAAGGCCATGCCAAGGCGGCCAACCAGAGAAACCTGGAGAGCAGGTTAGCCAAGGAGCCAGACCAGCAGTGCTGCCACCTCCTCCGCCCTCTTTTTATGAGCTGGAGCCGGAGCCGCCATGGAACTCACGCGAGAGGGCCACCCTACGCCCCGCTACTCCTTCCTCTCATGGTGTTGCTGCCGCTGCTGCTCGAGCTGTGCAAGTCCATTGGTGTGCACGCGCTGCTGCTCATGGTGTAACGGTGCCCGGCATCATTGGCGCTCAGCTCTTCTACCTACTGCCCGCCGAATCGCCATGCAACGTCGTCCTGTTCAGAGCTTACGGACATGGTGCTCACCTGAATACTAATAAAAAAATTTAGTTCCTGCACGGCTGCACAACCTTCAGTCTTGGTTGATTATCACGAATACTTTTTTGCCTGAGTAAATTATCCAATAGTTGTAGTTGCACATATAATAGTCTGTAGTTGTATATATGATTTAGAAAGTTGCACAACACGATAATACTAAGTTGGCTAGATGATGTTTTTGCATAAATTGATCTATTTTTGTCAGTCATATTTTTAGTTGGCATCCATGACATTATAATATAATATAGCAATGTGTTTGCTGTCATTTCTCGTGGAACGCGAGCGTAACGACCATTACACTATATCGCTATCGACGGGCCGGGGTAGCTTATTGATAGAGCGCATAAAGAAGACTCAAGACTGCTCGATGTTGCTGGAAACAGAAAGGAGGCACGTGCGGCTTCAAGATAGACAGACCGACTGTACACGCATTCCATTCGTGGATTCGAATCGAATCGATAAACCTAAATACTTCATGATGCACGCGCATGATTTTGCTGAACCGATCGGCCGCGCTTGGACCACTCATTTCGAGCGCATCGTGCAGCCCACGGCCACCAGGTGTTTCCTGGTCGGCGCGAGACGTGGTTGGCTCATGCGCTATCCGACAAAGCCGATGTGAACCAATCGCTCCCTTACTTCCTCTCCTAAAAAACAAAGGCTTATCCTTATCATCTTTTCATCGCCTCCATCGAATCCGTGCGAGGAAGCAGTGTGTCTCTGCCGGAGGCCAAGCCGAGGCGGCCAACCGGAGAAACCTGGAGAACAGGTCAGCCAAGGAGCCGGACCAGCAGTGCCGCCACCTCCTCCGCCCTCCTTCTATGAGCTGGAGCCGGAGCCGCCATGGAACTCACGCATGAGGGCCACCCTACGCCCCGCTACTCGTCCCGGCGAGGCATGAAGCCAGACAAAATTCTCCTAAACCGGTCGGACCGCAGCGGCACGGTCGTGTTTGCCTTGGACGCACCCCATGGTGTTGCTGCCGCTGCTGGTGGAGTTGTGCAAGTTCATTGGTGTGCACACGCTGCTGCTCATGGAGTCATGGTGATGTGGTCATTGGTGTTAGAAAAGAGAGAAACACCATGGAGATGTCCAGGGTCGTGCCATATGTTCAAGATACGGAGAAACGCTATAGTATCAGTGCAAAGGAATTGAAGGCTCCAACGCATGCATCTACACAGACTTCGTGTATACTTTATATTGGCTCTGTTGGTATTCAAATTCACTCAGCTGAATCATGGAAGGAAGACATCAAGCCAAACTTCAGAACACCACCGTGTAGTTGTAACCTGGCTGGAGAAATTCCAACTGGGGTTTCATTTTGGTAAGAGTCCTAGTTAAGTTGGGTTAGATGTACGTGATCAGCGTAGCCGTATTATTTTATTAGGAAAGTATTATTTAGTATGGTTAGGAGAGAGATTCCTATACGTATAACAGAGATTAGTTGATATAGAGTCTGTGTCGTTTTAGTTTCTCTTGTGGGTTGGTTTGACCATGTGACGCCTAT